TTTTATTTATATTTCTCGTTAAATATTTTTTTTTTAAATATTTTTTTTTTAAATATATTTAAAAATATTTTTTTTAAAGTATTTTTTAAAATATTTTTTTTAAATACATTTTTTTTGTTTTTTTTTAATATTTTTTTTTTAATTATTTTTTTTATTCTTTTCTTTTGTTTTTTTTTAATATTTTTTTTTAAAATTATTTTATTTTATTTATTTTTTTTATTTACTTATTTATTTTTTTTTATAAAATTGTTTTTTAATTTTTGTTTTTATTTTTTGTTTTTATTTTTTTAATTGTTAATAAATTTTTTTTAGTTTTTTTTATTTATCTTATTTACATGCAAAACCAGAACTAATTATATGATTATGTGTGTAATCAAACCAAGTCTATGGTCATTTATAAAAAAAATTTTGGGTCATTTTTCTGCTTTAACCTTAAACTGCAAAGTGGGTAATATAAACTGAAGGTTAAAAAAAAACAATTTTTGGAAAAAAAACTGAATGGTAAAATATTTAAATTCAGTAATGTTTGTGTGAAAGGATTCTCATTTACGCTTCTAATGCATAAACACACATTTTAAAAAGGATAAAAAAAATTTAAATTCCTGTCTTCTAAATATTACGTGTTCATCTTTTTCACGCTCGATACTACTTAAAAGTCAAAAATTGTTTGAAGTGGTTGAGTTACCTGAGCCTGGGTACGTTCCCTAGCAGCTGCTTTCTGATTTTGTATTTCTGTTTGTCAGGCACTTTTCCTTTTCGTAGGCTATCCTTTATACACATTCTTTTTGTTGTTTATATTCTTTGACATTTTTTCGAAAAGTGTTTTTAATGTTCTAGATATTTTTCTTTTTTAATTTTTTCTTTTATGATTTTTTTCTCTCAAAGGCGATAATATGCCTTTGTCGGGTATAGCCGATGTCTTCTCCTCTGCTATGTGCTTACACTTTAGTCACGTTGAACCTTGTCATTGACTTTGTTGTCGATTTTTATTTTGAGTTTTTTAGACATTTAATTTTATATTGTTTTAAGTGTTTTCATAACTATTACCATAAGTTCAAAAGGAAGTTATGGGCGTTAGAATATCCGTTTTTACACTGCCATGAATTGACTTGATTTTGTTTTCCTTCAGTTGATTATTCTTTTTATTATTATCATCCATAAAAAAGACATACAATAGACTGAATTTACATATATATCTGATACATATTATTATCACCTTTGCTCTACTCTGCCGGTACCGGAAGTCAGTCAACTTAGTTTATTCAATCGATGAGTGTGTATTAGTGCACCAATATGCGCGTGTATGTACGTAATTTTGCATAATTTTAATATTATTTCTTATTTAGTTTTTATATTTTTCACTTTATTTAATGGGTTTTTTAAGATTTATTTTTTTATCCAATTTCGATTTTTTCCCACTTTTTTTTATTACTTTTAGGTTATGAATTTTATGCAAATTTTTATTAAAGCGTTTTTCTGGCAACACACTTTTTTATATGCTAAATTATTCCAATTTTTATTACACTTTCCAGTTTTGTTACTGAACATTTTATTTAAATTTTTTTTCTCCTAACTTGAAATGTGATATATTTTAAACCCATTTAACAACAGGAAGTTCTGAAAATTTTTTAAATATGTTTTTTTGTTTTTATTTTTTTGTAAATTCTGTGCAATGAAATAAAACCCAGTAAATAAAGGACTTGATATTAGTGGTTATTTTTTTGTTTTTTTTTTGTTTTTTAATTTAATTAACTGTATTCAAACAAAAAAGTATGTATATCTATAAATAATTACATTATCCCAATTGTTGATAGTGTAACTCAAATTATAAGAAATATGATAAAATTTTTCATATTCAACGAAATTGATTCAAAAATTAACTTATTTAATAACTTAGTTTAACAAACATCTACCGAAAAGTTGATTTTATTTCTATAATAAATAAAGTAATTACTTTGCGAACAAGCAATCATCCAGACAGACGCACATTTACTAAAGTCATATAAATGCATTCGATAGTATGGGTAAAATCCAATATACCGTCGAATATGTAGACACCACTCAGCAAAAGAAAATATTTATATAATATATAGTTCATATACATATGTTTTCAAAATAAATAAAATAATTTATTTAAGCTTGATTTAAATGTGCAAGGCACTGTTCAAAGCTAACCGAAAAAAATGTTGTTTTGGCAAAAACAAATTAATTTTATAAAAAAAGAAGTTCCCTGAATATTCTTTAAGTTGTCGGTACAAGTCTTTCGGATGAGTTCGATATTCATAAAACGCTTTCATGGCCGCATTACAAATATAGTATAATATCTATATATAGTATACTATATGTAATATACTATATACAAATATAGTCCGGACAGTCATTAATACGAAGTTTGCGATGATGTGAACACCGTAGTTATTTTCATTGAAATCTTTATAACTCGAACAGAATGAAAAAACTATATAAATTAAGTTCTAGTTTTTTAAATAATAATGAATTGCAACAACAAAATTTTGTTAACTTTTCTACTTAGAAATTTGTTTCTAAACCATAATTGCCTATTAATACTCGTAGAACAATTTAATATTGATATTTCTTGAAAAAATTAGTCAAAATAAAAATATTATTTATTTATTTCGAGAGCATATCACACTAATATTTTGAAAATTGAAAACAGTAGCTATAATAAATTAATGATGTACTATGAGACATCCGGAAATAAATATACTCCAAGACATTCGAATTGATAAACACTCGTATCCGAATATTAGTGAGAGGTTAATAAAAAAACATAATATACTAGAGACTGCTTGAAATGATCTAGAATGCATTTATTTAAATATGACATATAATAGCATTCTAGTGTTTTTAAAAAAACGTTAAAATAACTCACAACATTCAATTTAAAATTTTTAATTCAAAAATAAAATAATATGGCAAATATATATTTACTGGCATTACATGATAACATTATTGCAGGACTAGTATTTCAAAAAATTGAATACGATTGCTTTAAATATATCGGAAGAGGCAATAAAACTCTGTAAAGTAGGTTCTATACTAATTTTTATTGACGCAACAGGGCTTAGAGACCTAATCTAAGCCCAGAAGGTGGCACAAAAGGCCCGATGGTTGCAGTGCCTCATCCCCTAACAATAATAATAATAATTTTAAATATATTTGGTGAAGATAATATTAAATAACATAAAAAAACAATTTATTTTACATTTTCTTTCCCGAAGCTTTAATATTATTCACACAGGTAGTCATGACAGATCAATTATATGTGATTTTAGGTTGGGCAAAAAGTATACAGCACTTTTAAATAATTTTATTTAAAATTTTTTATAAGGTCAAAATAACTTTATTAACTGAAATCACACACAATTTTTTCAAGTATTCTATTATACAATATTAGGGTCAAATTTTTGAAAATTTCACGGTTCTTTTCTAGGATTAGGATCAAAAAAATGATTTGATTGTGCAATATATTGCTGATAACAGAAATTTGAATTAAAGGTGGCAACTTAAAATAAATTATACTCTATCAAATATATTTCATCACTTTCGTTGTGATTAATCCTGGTTTTATCTCCGTTTACGTACATTAGTGTATGCAATCTAGTTTTCGTTTATTACCTGTTACCATATGTCAAAGGGGAGCTACGTAACAAAATTCTATATATTTAATTTTTTTCATGGTGCATTTGTATATCAAGTATTTGTTTGTAAGCACCTTTATGCAGATCGATTAGAATGGCATTAAGTAAATTTTCAAATATTTATAACTGCTTGTCCGTAATTTCTTTGCATATAAAACTGAATGAATTCTTTACTTATTATTAAGTAAAGATATTCTTTAAGTATTAAGTAAAGATATTATTATCATTATGAACCTCATTAACCTAACCTCACTAGGTTAGTTAAATCTTAGGATCATCTTAGCATACATTATGTATGATTACATTAATTGTAGTTATGCATTTGGGTTTGAAAGGCGTTACATTTCTCGAAATGTTTTTTTTGTAGGGGTGAGATCCCTAAGGGGTTTCATGCATATAAAAAACCACCTTTGCATCTAGTAAGTTTTTAAAAATAGTGCTTTCGAATAGCATATAATAAGCATGCTTAATGGTATTATATTGTGAAATACTTCTATTAATCTCTACTATATCAATTAGTTTGAGATATGTGATAAACTTCTAATTCATTTTTTAGATTATGATAATAAATTAATATTAAATATATTAATTTTTTAATTCTGTATTCTATACTCATATCACTTATACTTAAGATTTGTAGTTCTTCATTTGAAAAAATTTGTTTTAAAACCAGAACTGCATTGTCTTAGTGTAGACGTGTCTTAGTGCATTTAGTATCACGAGACGTGGTTTTGTTTGTTATCCCTGCATGATATTGAAATTGGGTTGTACAGCTGGACCCCACAATTCAAATTGGTTTACAATTAACTTGTAGATCATTAGTTGGTTTTCTGTAGACAGTTTTACTTTAATCGGCCTATATAAGTCCAATCACATAGTTTATATTTGACATCTTTAAAGTAAGTTGTTTTCTCTTAGTGGAGATATACTTTTACCACGGTAATCGAGATGTGTTTCTAAATATTTAGATTCAATTGCTTTTGTAATGGGCTTGCTGTTAAATATATTGGAGGACCAATTGCTATCTCATTCACAATTTCGTGTAACTTCCGCTATGTGATATAAGTATTCTTTTGATTTTTACAATCTTTTTTACTTTTTTTATAAATGTATAAGACTAACAAAAGTTAAAACATTTTTTTCGTATTAATAAAACCATTATATAAAAAAATTGGAGAGTTCTCTAGTTCTTAGCAAATTAATAAATGGTCAGAAAGTAATGTTGAAACTCACTTTTTTTGGACAATATATTAAACTTATAGATATTTTAATAATATATATATAAATATGATTCTTAATTTAATAATAATACTAATTAATCTTTTTTTTTAATTTCAGGTACTGTTATAACAACAACTACCATTTGTTACCACCATTATTTTTGCAATTACCAAAACTATTACTACTATTAAATTTTTTATTAATACAATTAAGATTACTATTAATACAATTAAAAGAAATACATAACTCAGAGAAGTTATTTCATATGTATTAAAACTGATATGAATAAATATATTTGAGCAAATATATATATTTATACATATATATAAAGAGGGGAACGTTAACGAGAGGAGTCGAATCAAACTAAAGTATATAGACAGCACAAACCTGCAAACAAAATTAATGAGGATAAGCTATGAGGGAAACTTAGTAAGACAAGAATTTAATTTCGGTCACAAAAACTACTAACCAAAATAAATATATATAAATGTATATAAATATATTTGATAAAATCAAAGAACTATTTGCAACAAGCATTTAAAACTTAAAGGCTGTAAGTACTACTGCAACAAATACCACAACTAAAACTGCAATAATAATTTAATTAAAGAAGAGGTCAACTAGCGGCATCGCAGTGAAGTTTGAAATTCGAAAACAACACAAAATAAAATTCGAAATCAATACGAAAGTCAAAAAAATTAATAATAGTATAATTAAAATGAAAGAAAACCTATAAATTAACGTTGTGTAAACGGAAACGGAAACGAAAATGAAATGAAACTATTTTATACGTTTTTTTGTCGTTTACATATTGATCGTAACTCAATTGTTAACTCGGTGCTTCGCCTGCAGGATAATTCCATTTATATCTGTAAAAGAATTGCATTCAAAGTTTTTATATATCATTAATATTAATAATACTATACATCATACCTACTATAATAAGCATTTTTAAAGAACTATTGTACAAAAAGAAAAAGGGAAAGTTGAATCAAAACTCTTTTGTCAAGATTTAAAATTAAATAACCGACTGTTTACAGCTCTAAATTATATCTTAGCTTTTAGCTAAGCTGCTAGCTGCTTCCCAAGAACACATCTTCAACTCTTTCAACTCGTTTAAACTGTCGTCCTCGCAATTGCACCTTACCAAATCATTTGAAAGAAATGCTATTATTGTAGTTATATTTTATTAAACAATTGCTAATATTGAGAAAAAATAATTACTAAAAGTATCTAATATAAAAACAAAATTTTTGATTTTATTTTATTTGTTTCGTTCAAAATCAATTCATAAAAAATGAACAAACGAACAAAATTAATAATAAAAACCAAAACGAAAATAAATCAAAATTTAATAATACAAAAATTTATTGCTGAGCAAAAACAACGATTCAATGTAGATACACTTAAGTATCTTAAAGTTTAAGCGTTCATTAATAAGTAATTTTTTTCTAACATATATAAAATTTTTTTGTTTTTTTTTTATAACAAATGAAAAATAGTTACAAATATATTAGTAAATCTTTATTGTAAGTAAGCAACAAATCCAACAACTAATACTAAAGCACCTCTTAAGAAATTGTATCTATAAAATCAAACTAACTAAAGCAACAACAAAATTACCACAGAGCAACATCAACAACAAAATTGATCTTGCAAGTAAGTTAACACTTTTCGTAAATGAAAGCAATCACGAAAATATCATGCTTCTGCAAAATTTTTCATCTTAACTCATTTACATATAAACTGGCATAATAATTACACTCTGGCCACTAACAGGAGACCCACTAGAGACTCAATGCTGATTCCAATTACCACTATAATGTAGACAAGTGATGTCTTCTTTCTCTAGTACTCTTGCATGAAATAAAAGGGTTATGCTATTGAATCCCATGTTACTTATTCTTCTCATATAATTCTCACATTCTCACTTTAGAAATATCAACCTAGATTAGGTTAGGTTTGATTGATAGAACTATTGTATAGTTTTGTATTTTTGATGGACTGAAACATTAGCTGTTCGTAACATTGCGTCCATTGATAAACTAATGCATCTTGTCCTATTCATAATTTTCGCAGGATTTTTTTTACCTCACCTGTATTTAGAGCAATCACAATCTTCTTAAGGTCGATGTTTTGTCACTCTGATAAATCTATAAGTCATTAATGATACCCGATGGAGTTAGAACTTTATGTCAACGAATTTTGTAAATTAAACCAATTTTTTAAACACACGAGATGTCAAATTGTAATATGATTTCAAGTCTTCTTCTTTCCACATAAAGGATAGAACCCTGAAATTATTTGCGAAAACTGACAGACTTACCAACACCGCGTTATCAAATGTCAAAATGCTTACGGCTTAGTCTGATGAAGAGATAAACAATAATCTAGTCAAGGTGTAGAGAGGAGTTTTGAAGAAACCTCGAGTTAAAACCAGCTTCAACATAATAAATGTTATTAACATACGTTCATTTTTAATATTGATATATTAACATTAAATTGGGAATGTATATTGTTTTATTTCTACATTATGCTATAAAAGTAAAATTATATATAAATAAAGATTTATTTGCATTAATTAGTAATTAGTAATAGTTAGAACAATTAATAACAATAATTTATGTTTGGTTATCACATGGCTCAATAAGTTTTCAGTTTGACACACATATAGCAACACTGTTAACAGACCCTTATGATTTCTAGAGAGTAATAGTCTTCAAACGCTATTGGTCAAAATTCTATTAATTAGTTACAGTGGTTATAATGGTGGAAGCCGAACAGTTGCTCTATAAACATTAGGGAAGCTCTGCATCTGGGAAATTAACTATTATTGTTGGTATCTGCATTTTTTCCGGAAAATAATAAAAGTTCACAAAATAGTTTTGAAAATAACTTCTATAGCACATATAGCACATTGTGAAATTGCTTGAGATAGGTGACATTTCAAAGATATCAGAATGAAGTCTGTTTACCATTTAACACTAACATGAGCGTACATAAGTTGCTTTCGAACTGATTGCTATTGTTCGATGAAAACAATGTTTAAATTAAATAAATGTTGCTTTTTATTGCTTCCCCACCCACTGTACGTTCCAGGTCTGACACCCAACGGCTACTAATTGTTTGCAGATATCAAAATGTTGCAATGACATACTTTTAGAATAAAGATTAATCACTTTATAAAATACGCATAAAAAAGTTAAAGAAATGTTGGTATGACCTTCTCATTTTCGAAGGAGAGTCTGATTGCGTAGATTGAAGAGTTATTAGGTCATGGGTTGAATGTGAAAATAAAGGACAAAAAACTGATATAAATATTCCATATATACTTTTTAGACTAGAATTGTCAACGCCAATTGTGTACAACGATGCTTATTTAAAGATAGGATCTTATTATTTATGCTGGTAAGCTATTTAAGCTATTTCAGGTCCTATTTTACATTAGGTCACGATAACTAATAAACTATATATACTTATGAACTTCTTATAACAACTTCAAATGTTTTTTTATTTCTCTCTGTCTACATTTTATGCTACGTGACTGTTAGGTTGTGACCTCTCAGCATATTTATGATAGTTCTACAATTTTTTTATGACAGTGCTTGTACAAAACAAGTATGTGCATATAACTTCTATAATTTTATAGTAGTTTGAACTGCTTCATCTAACCATTATTAAGTTTTCAACTAATATGTTTGAAATTTCATTGTGAGTTTTAAAGAGGACTCTGTGTAATATGTTTGTTTGTGGAAGTACCAGTTCGTTACTCAAGAGACTTTCTATAGTTTTTTTTTATTTATTATAAATGAAATCAAGTTATTGACTTCGGCACTGCTTGGCTTTTTACGTAGATGTTTGTCTTGGAGTAACATTCTTTCTAAGTGTAGGCTAGTTCTACAACTTTCTCCACAGTTGAAACTACCCTCCCACCCCATTCGTTACTTAATCCATTAGATTCAAAAAAATAACTTATATATAGTATATAAATCATTTTAATAAATATCTATAGTACATTCTCCAAAAGTCATTGGAGAATTCTATTTTATTCAGCTTTGTTGGAAATCATATTTGAAGTTGTGGAGTTGAAATATTTTTAATGAAGAGTGGTTATAGAGTGTAAACCCAATACTTGTAATAATAAAAATAAATTAAATATTATTATGTTTATAATAAAAAACATAAACACCAAATAGTGAATTTTTAGATTAACATCTAGATTTTATAAGAAACTGATTTTGGCTACGATCTATCTATTTTTCAAATATATATTTCAAATATAAACAAAAAACTAAACAAGAACATTATTCGTAGTACATACATTTCCCCGTTTCCTCATCGATAAAACAAAAATATCATCATAATCATCATGGCTTTATAGTTCCAGATAAATTGTTGCCTAGTTAATTGGTAAAACCCATCGTTATTTGTTCCGTTAAATATTTTCTTGATACCTAATTTGTCATTGACTTTTTTTTTAGCTTATGTGGTCTCGCATGAAAACTCTTCCTTTTCACATAATCGTTGCCTTTTCTAAGTTGATACCCATGTTATCGTGGCCTTTGTGGTTTGATGTACTGCTTCTCTTATTCATCGTTTTTATTTTTCGTCAGTTTATCTACTTTAAAAATTATATTTACTTATATAACATCCTTATTCTTATTTTACTATAAATGTTTTTAAATTATTTCTTTTTCAAAAAGTTTTGCTTTTGTTACTATTATAAAAACTATGCCCACATCTATAATAAATTATACGTAATAAAATAAAGAAAATAATTTTAACATTAATGACGTCTTTGTCAGGTAATAACAGAAGAGCAAACAGCTGCGCCACTATAATTATGAACATCTGAAGTAAAAATTAGAACTTTTTACAATTTCATTTTTTCTAGAACCTCATATTTTAATTAATTTTGTGGTACTTTTTTTTTTAAAAAAAGTAAATTAAACCATCTTTAGAGAAATTTAATTTGCTGATTATCACTAAAACAATACCTTTTACATGACTCTTTTTCTTCAATAATTCAAAGGAATAATGTAATAATCTATTAATATTAAGGAAAGTCTAATTCCAAAAATATTAAATATATTTTTTCTTAGACAATTCCTAGAAGTGTATTCCTACTTTTTTTGGAATATATTAAAATAGGTAGCAAAAAAGAAAAGAGTTCATATGCAATTAGCATTGCTGCTTGTCTACCTTTATAAGTCCTTTTATGACATATTGCAATGAACGTCCTTCAGCGTAGTAATACAATAAAAGGAACCAATATTATTGATAAAAAAATATATGTTGTTTATTTTTTACCTGAGCTTATTACAAATATTTGCGAAACATTATATTCATATATTCATTTTATTAAATGTTATTATAACAGTTTTTTAAGATTTGTAGTGGGTTAAAAAATGAATATCGACTTATACCAT